CCACATTACATTGAAACAAATCAGGTACTGTACTTATACTGTAGTCAATAAGTGTTTGAGGTATTGGTACTTTACTTGGATGTTTCCATTATATGTTACTTTAGAATTCCACTATACTACATGTATTAAATATTGTACTCCATAAGATATACTTAACAGCTTTTATAGTTGCCTTGTAAATTCCAAAACATATGTGCAGTTTAATCCTTATGCTGTAGGTTATGAGTGTAAGTACCAAGCAAGCAGTACATAAACTAGTTTAACGATAGCTCCACCTTGACAAGTCACATGATAAAAAGGCTGCTTGCACATGATGACATGAATGAATTTAAGTGTCCTGACATCTCACAGTCCATCCCTCATGGGATAATAAGGCACCTTCACATTTGATCAATATTTGATATTTACAGTACAGAGAACAGCCTGCAGCTGGTCTGCTCACAAATCAATCTGGGAATACAAAAGCTACAGTTATCATTTAGCCTTAACTGATGCTAGGTTTTCTTTCTTTCACTTAATAAACCATCAAATGTATAGATACGTATCAAACATCATCCATATCTACCATTAAACTAAAGTTCACAAAGTCTACTTTATGGAGGGCAGCAAACACACATGGTTTTCCTTTTCTATGTCTCCCTGCTCACTCAGTGACATGATTCAAATTCTAAAGCAGCAAATCAACACATTTCAATATAATGAGGTAGTATCCCAGCTGATCCAAGCACAAACACACCTCTTGTAAAAAATCAAATATATTGGAACATAATTTTCAGTGCAGTCGTGCGGGTTGATTACCTTAGTTTGGACATATTAAAATAATAATACTAACGAAGCTACCTTGTAATGGTTTATAGTTTCATTACAATTTTGCTACTTTTACTGACTGACCACTTCTATAAAAGACATATCTAAATAAATAAATACAATGTGAACTGCTAAATGAGGCTCTAGTGGAATGGCAACCCAATTTCTTTGTCATGCTAGCCTCCAAATCCAAGTTCCTGATAAAAAATGTGTACATCTATGACTTCTTCATTCCTTACATTCCCTACACCTATGGATTTCCTCCAACTTGATAAAGCACTTACTGACAGAGTTGACAGGCGAGACTCATCTTCAGGCAATTTGTCTGAGAGTCAGCGGCCTGCAATTACCTGACATCTCTCACCATCAGGGGCCATACTATTGCCTCCACGTCAATCAAAAGTCTCCAAGATGTGGAGATGAGAAGTCCTTGGACACACACACACACACACACACACACACACACACACACACACACACACACACACACACACACACACACACACACACACAACTGATGAGGCTCTAGCCAAAAGGATTCTATATATTAGTCACAGGAGACTGTTCTGCTCTGGTTAGCATTACTGTTCCCGGTTTGCTCTGCGACTGACAGGAAGGCAGCCAAGAATCATTCGGTTGGAAAAAAAACTCACATGAAAAACAGGCATGACGTTAACTTCATCTGTAGTGGTGATAATGTACGCTGGAGGCAAAGACAGAGCTCACGAAGAACTGTGTGTACATTTTGAAAAACAATAGGAGGGATAGAAGGGACAGAAGAAGATCTGCATCCCTCAACAAGTCATACATGTATCAAAGACTTCCAACTCCATCCCAAGAGGACTTAGCTAATATGTTAGCTTGTTAGGCATTGTATGTGCACTAAAACGTTATGTTGTACCTTGTTACAGAACAAGCCCCCTGGAGGTCATAATTTGCAACTGCAGGCTGTTGTAAAAAAAAAATTAACGACACGATCTAACAATAAACTTGCATCTGCTGTCTGGTTGAAAGTCAAGGTGGCCTGAAACCCATGCAGAACATTAACTTTATTGTAATCCTTTATATTTTCACAAACCCAGGGGATGTGAGTGCACCATGTCCATGTCCACACTTGAATACCAAAACGGCACATTACAGGTTGTGTGTTAAAGGCTGTGGCGACCATCAGCGACCACATTGACTACTTTTCATGCTCTTTCAACAATATCAAGACACATTGACAGTTTGAAAGTCTATTAAGTGTTTCTTTGGTCATCCTCTTTCCTTGCATAATAGTGCGTGATTATATTTTTTCATCACAATGACCCATACACAACAACCTAGAGTTAAATCCCATTGAAGCGCCATATACAATATTGAAGAAGAATGATTTGGCATGTTGTTTTATGGTCATTAAAGTTCTTCTTCTTTAACTGTTTCACATGGAACATAAATAGCCTATTTTTAGCATAATTGTTGACAAACAGGGAACAAAATAGTTTCATACTAAATCCTCAAATACATAAATGTGATCAGGGGATCCACACATTATTTGGAGATTTCTTAAATAGCTGTATTTTCCTGGGAACTCAACCAGATTTGTAACCGACTAATCTCACGTCTACCTATACTGACGTAAGAAATCGCGAAGCTCCAGAGGGAATTGTTTGTTTAAGTTTTAATTGATGTAAAAGTCTGAACTCTTTCCAAAATGCCTGCTTATTTACACTGCAGTAAAACATGTTGTTTAATCATAAGGACACGTTTAATTGCACATAAGCACTGACTTTTTTTATGGTCTGTGGTTTGACAGTGTGCAATATCACTCCAATTAGAGACGGCAGAGGAAACAGATACCTGCTGCTCGGCATAGCGGAGGGAAGGAATTTAAAAGTTAACAGCCATGGCAGCAGCTCTGTGAAGCTGTTCTTTGGCAGTGCTCACAATGACAAGGCCAAAACGCTGCTGTTTGGACAGAACAATGTTTACAATGTTTGCCAACCTAGTCGAGTGTGTTTTGGTATGCAAACATTTGATGATAACCACAAGAAAAACTCAAGCTGGGACAAATAGGGCTGTAATTAAAAGGTATTTAGTCATAAAACAAGATAATAGCTGATCAAATGATAAAGTATATAATGGCATATCATAAAACATTCATTCTACATGCATACATTCTAAAGGTTAAAATTGAAAGTGTCTGTTTATAGAGAGAATTAAAGTGGACCTATCATGCTATATTTGAATAATATATTGTAGGGCCATGCCTATACAAAACATGTCTGCGAAGTATTTTTTTCAAAATACCAAACAGATCATGCATTTTAGCCATGCCTCATTTCGCTCTATTTGCTCTTTTTTAGCCCTGTTTTTGCAAGGGCTGAATCTGTGAGAAGTCTTCTTCGCTGCTTTTGTGGCAGACTACAGCGCCACCCACAGGCCTGTCATATGTACAACAGCGTCTCCAGCGCTTTCGAACGGCAATGGCCGTGGCTGTCTCCTCCTGATAGGTGGAGATTTGCCCATATAGGCGGAGCTCCTCGTTTCTGACGTCAGAGAATCTTCAAATCTGGATCAGTCTGTATCAGATCCGTTGCAGCCCCGTTTTTAGAGATTTGGTTATGGAGGAAAAGAGAGAGGGTTGTGTTTTCTGACACTTGGTGAGTTCCCTGACACACCGGGGACACATATTCATGTATAAAAGACGTACAAAGGTGCATTTTGCATGATAGGTCCCCTTTAAGTTATTTAAGGACTGAGATAATTAAAACAGAAGGAGGATTCAAACTAAACCTATACTATGATCTTTAATTATATTTTTTAAACAATTAAATTATTTTGAAGACATCCAATGAGCTCAATATGTATCTACATAGAACCAAATTAACCTTCAGTCCAAGTTTGAATATGAAAACTTGAGTTTTTCAACAACACTTAACCCGCGCCAATTCAATAAGCAATCAGGCTCAAGAGGAAAATTGTACGTCTGACTCGAGGTTATATTTCCTCGAGTTGCTCATCACTCTGCTTTGCCTTTTGACTGCAATTTTTCCAAACCACTCTTATGGTCTGATCTGGATTTAGGTTATTAATTTTCTTCTAGCTAGCTGATAAATTGGACAAATGACACACACACAATTTTCACGGAAATCTAATAGAATGCTGGGTTTGAGGAAAAGTAAAAATGAACAATGTCTTCAATGTTCTACGGTTATAATTTGAAGCAAACTCATCATCCAGCCAACATAACTGAGATTAAAGCGCTGATTTCTGAAGTGTAAAACATTGTCTAGCAGCAGCTTAATGTAGGATTTGTTTTATAGCATAATCTCGTTCCAACATGTTCCGTCTTAACTCTGACTTCTCCAAGCTGACTTCTCCAAGCTTGTTACATCCATTCACAGTAACATAGATTTTTTGAATCCCAATACAGGCAAAGAAAATAATGGTGGCAAAACACCAAAAATAGTCACTGTATTGAGACAAATTCAAACAATGCTGCTATTGGGAGAAATTAAATGAATAACCAATACAGGCCCTCAATCTACCAGCTTAATTTCCTGGCTGACAGAAAATCAAAAGCTTCAGGAGAAGGATTGGCATACCCAGCTGCTAACCTTCGAGGATTCAGTCAGTTAACTGAAATGCCAACAAATAACAGTTCAAATGTCAAGCTAATAAAGATGTTAAAGCCCCAATCTGATATTTTGGGACCAAATAAATGAGAAGTCTATTCAATTGCATGATTAAGCAAGAAAATACCAGGCTGTTTTCCAGCTGTAAACAAACATTCTTAATGTTAACTCATCTTTAGCGGCGTCAGAAATTATAGTACTTTAGACTTAGTTCCTATTAAGAGTTAATTGAATTACCTATAATTAGTTATATTTCATTTGCATTTTAAAAAGACCTGTCAATCAATTTGAAAGTGAAAATAGGTTGTTATCTTGATTGTTCATGCTGGAGCTATCCACGTGTTTGCATTGTGAGTGTGGATTCCTTTAAGCTCTGATACGACTTGCAGATGTAATGACTCATCGGAAGTGTGACGGTCCATAGGTTAAAGCCATTTAGCCGGACAGACAGGATGATGGGAAATTACAGAAGCAGTGGTTCCACTGTGCACTAATCACTTCTGCTCCTCTTCTCATCTCCACCATCTATCCTCCCTTCTTCCTCCCACTGTCTCCCTCTCTCTCTGTCGTCTGCAGTCAGATACCGAGTTCTGGGATAAGATGCAGGCCGAGTGGGAAGAGCTGGCTCGGAGGAACTGGCTGACGGAAAACGAGCAGGCACAGATTCCCTCCTCTGTCTCTCCACATGAGAAGGTCACTACCATTACACTGTTACGATCAGCAGCATGTGCAGGAATCTGTCCTGATGACATCGATGTAGAGAGGACTGATCGCCGCTGCAGAGTAAAACATGCCCATCTAGAGCTTAATTGTACTATTAGTTTCCAAGCATATTTTATGTGGTATACAGCAAGTTTATTGTACTTTTGAATAAGATGTAAATACACCTGAATCATGCTCAACTCCAAAAGGGAAAAATGATAAGCCATCCCCTCTAATTGCGCCTGAAAGGAGGCGTTCAACAGTTTGGGAAATACACCTAATTATCTCCCTTGCAGAATGTTAGCTGAGAATATCGTGCCACTCTAAAAAAGCAACTCACAAAAATGTCAAACTGTTCTTTTAAACTTGGTTGTCTGGTGTGAAAACTTCAATATTACCAGACAGTGATCATTTGAAACCAAGCTCAAAACTGAAGGCCGAGGGGTATCCTGTTTGTACAGTGTTATGGTTTACCAGGGAGTTCAACTCCTTAATATTGCTGAGCTTATTTACAATTACTTACTTACAATTTAGCTATGTTTACATTTTTGTTGTACTCTGTGTATAATGACAATAAAAGGCTTTAACTTAACATAACTAAATTATTAAAAACCAACGTTAAATAGCCTATATTACACCCTGTGTATATATCATTGGTAGACCTAAGAGGGCAGTGCATATAGTTGGGCAGTATAATGTAGTCAGTAAAATCAGCTGAGCGTATAAGGAAATGATACGAGATCAGACCTCTTGGGCTCACTGATTGATCCCCGTGCAGAACTAGTTCTTAAAAGAACAGCTATTTCAAAGTCATTGCGCCCAGAAGCGGTCAACAACACACCAGGGTAATCACAGTTTGAAAATGCAAAGTTTAACATTTAAAAAGAACAGACAAACCTGGGGGAGCTCAGCCCAGGTTTGATGTGAAGCAGAAAAGATCAATTGCTGCTGCTGGAGCTTTCCTAAATATACAACTGCACAGGACAGTAGCCCTGGTTTTCATTTGAATATGAAAGAGAGAAAAACTGACAATGTATATGTCCTTATATTTCGTTTTTTGCTTACAGGGTTACTACTTCCACACAGATAATCCTTACAAAGACTTGTCTAACGCATTTGAAGAGGGACAAAAGAAGTCTCGAGAGGGAGACTTGCAAAATGCTGTGCTTATGCTGGAAGGAGCCGTCCTGCAGGACCCTCAAGATTCAGAGGTGAATTCATTCAAAACACACAGACACATGTATTTTGGGATGGGGCACATTTACAGCCTATATGGCCAGTAAAACTGCACTCTGAGTCTTCTCGTTTTTAGTGCAAAGTTTTTGGCTCAATACAACCACAATAACTGGTTCTCATTGATAGAAGCTAGAGGCAGAATGGCTCACGGACCACACAGGCAGTGTGGAGCAGATTTAGGAGGCAGCACCCACAGGCTAGACGCTGATGGCCTGTAGAGGGCAAAGGAGGTTTTTTTCTTGATAAAGAGCGGTTATCTGTATCAAAAATAGTCAACTTGTTCATACTCATGATGAGAATTTCCATTTGCCCAGTGAGCTGAATAATAGCTCATTCCGAAGCTTTTTTCTCCTTTTTGTATTCTCCCCGTTTCTAAAGGAGTGACCTCTTTGCAGGCTGGAAGAGCAAAGCCTTCATACAAAGTACTTTCAGAATCCCCTTGAATATACAGAAATGTGGCAGTTATTCAGAGGGGAGGATTATCCCGCGGTGTATGGAACTAATACGATTCCAAAATTCATCCTAGGGCGCTTAGTGGCTTATTGCCCCACTGTGAAGACCTCTGAATCATTCAGAAATAATTTCGACCCTCATTTTGAAGAGCGGGAACAAAAACGCATCTACAGAGATTAGCTTTAGAACAGGTTATTAAGTATGCCCTTACACACACAAACAGAGGAGCAATATCTTAATCTCACATTTGGATTTGAGGTTAGTTACATCATTGTCTGCCCTCTTGTGCTGATCAAGGGAAACTCCATTTGCATGTCCCTGCCGAGGCACCGCACAAAGATCAACCGCAGTGCCTCTCACACAGTGACATTCAACTTTACTGAGCGTAAACTCAACAACCTTTTGAAGAATTCATCTTTCAGTCAGATAGAAAATCAATCTTCAACTATTTTGAGGATCAGTTAAACATTTAAAGGACACCTATCATGCTATATTTAAATGATATATTGTAGGGCCATACCTATATAAGGTATATTCATACGTTTCTGTTTTCAAAATACCAAACAGATCATGCATTTTAGCCATGCCTCATTTCGCTCTATTTGCTGTTCGCCCTGTTTTTGCAGGGGTTCTGATTCTGTGAGCTGCAGCTGACCACGCCCCCCTGCAGGAGAGGGGAGCGTGCTCTGATCAAGTCAGAAGAGGGGGAGAAAAATAGATCTCCGTCCTCCGTGTTTTATTATATTATTATATAGAGACGTTATTCATTTGTTTTAAAGCTCAATAAATAACAAAGAAGACCTTTGAACGGCACTTTTCTAATTTTGTCCTGAAGATTTAAACTTTAACGGACATCTTGACCGGCGAAACTGAAACTCTGCCGCACGGTCCCCTCGTCCTTGGAAGAGGCGGAGAGGCGGTTGTTTGTCATCTGCTGGTGGACTAACCGGAGAGAATTACAGTGCTTGCCTCGACGGGGAGGGATTGCATTGAATTACAGCAGCGGGAGCAAACGCTTGCCTCGGAGAGGGAGAAAAAGAGCCACAGCGGAGAATAAACAGAAGGGCAACCATGCACAGGAAGTCTTCTTCGCTGCTTTGGTGGCAGACTACAGCGCCACTTACAGGCCTGGCATATGTACTACATCGTCTCCAGCGCTTTCGAGCAGCAATGACCGGCCGTGGCCCAACCCCACATTCCCCTGATAGGTGGAGAGTTGGCCCAATAGCCGTAGCGCCACCATCCTGACGTCAGGACAGTGTTCAAATCTGGATCAGTCTGTATCAGATCCGTTGCAGCCCCTTTTTTAGAGATTTGGGTATGGAGGAAAAGAGAGAGGGTTGTGTTTTCTGACACTTGGTGAGTTCCCTGGAACACAGAGGACACATATTCATGTATAAAAGACGAACAAAAGTGCATTTTGCATGATAGGTCACCTTTAAGGGAAGAGATTTTACTGTGCAACTCAGTAGATGGTAATAACTTCTCAAGGGATATTTCCGGATTCTCTCTATGTTTTACATTATAGTAAATTATATATATTTGGTGGTTTTGCACTTGGGAGACAAAACAAGAAATCTGAAGGTCTCACTTTGGGTTCTCGAAAACTGGGTTTTAAGTCTTCAATATATTGTTTTGTCCAACCAAGAGTCCAAAACCCAAATGAGTCTTCACCTAAACTGTCAACTACATTTCTTAGAGAGATAAAGCAGCATGTCAGTAAGTCATCTCTGATAACTTCATTCAGTGACTGACACATTGCTTTTTATTTCTCAGATGATTTAATGGTTACCTGAGTGTTTCTAAGGAAAACGCTCTAAGCTAAATGTAATCATAATTGTATGCAGCCTTGTTGACCTTATTAAAGGTGGGGTAGGGAATTTTGGAGAAACCAGCTCGAGTGCGCTAGAATTTGAAAATACACAACCGGAAAAAATCTGCCTCGTCCCTACAGAGCCCCTCCTCCAACACAGATGAACGCGCACATGACCAATGAGGGCACGAGATAAGTTTGTGCACAGATGGAAGGCTAACAGGCAGGTAGGCCATCCAGTTATTTTAGCCGGGCCGGTGAAATGATTGGTCGTGCTTTTTACAGCGCCACGGCTTCCACAGATGATATTTTTTTATGGATTTTTTGTCAAAGCATTTCAGATATTCATTGCTATCGGGGTGCTAAGAGCATTCCATGGAATATAACAAAAAGTGTATCTGAAGCCGGTTTCTCAAACTTACCTACCCCACCTTTAAGGTTTAAAATGTGGTGAAGTTCTGAAAGTTTAAATGCACTGTAGCTCCTCTGTGTTGATGTGTCGGAAAGACTTGCATCCCTCACTCTGTTCTAGACGAACACTCAAAGTGCCAGACAGCAGCATCAGAGCCACTGTAACTGTGATTCAGACCCATGAGAATACCGTCTACGGAGCCCAGGTTTCCATATTGCTGTTTACTTTTACCTGTCTTTGTTCCCCTGTAGGCTTGGCAAGTGCTGGGTACCACGCAGGCAGAAAATGAGAATGAGCAATCAGCGATCGTCTCTCTCCAAAGGTAAGGAGAAAGAACTGCATCAAATTCCCATTTCAAATCCAAAAAATGCTCTCAGACTTAGCAGAGCAGTCAGCTTTTATTGGTGAAGAAACCAGATGTTTGCACAAGTAGGAACATTTGCCTGAGAGGTTTAAATGAGCTTTCTAGCAGAAGTCTAATCAGCAATAAATTATATTTATAGTCCCGAGAAAAACGGCATCACCATTGAACAATTTCTTTCACTGTATTACTTAACCAACCGGTAATTGGAAGGAAACAATTTTATTCTTAAAATAGAGACACCCCACATGGATGGTGATTGCAGAGAGCCACGGTATGAGTCTACGATGGGAGGTGGCCCACTTTTATTCATAACACTGCTGAAGCCAGAAATGGCAGCAATCTGAGAGTGTGAACACTGACAAAAAAACTGGAAACACAAGAGAAAAGGAGAAAAACAGTTACATATTGAAGTGCAACATATATGGTCCATTCCCCTACATATACATATAGTAATGAAGTTGATTTAAAAAGGGATTACAAAAATGTTTGTCCCTGCAAGAGTCTCACTTAATCCAAAAGATTCTCAGATAGTTTGCATGGTGTACATTTTAGTTTGTTCGTTATGTAATAGCTCCATCTGTGAGGGGACTGTTTGGGTACGGAGTGAGATTAGATGTTTAACTGGCATTAGTCCTGTTGTTGCTACACTGGCAACACTTCACTTGGCCAGCACTGTGTTATCCTGCTCTATTCAGCTTTTTTTACACTAAATATTGTCACAGAGAAGAATAAAAATATGCTGAAAATGAAAATGTTGCTTGGCTTTCGTCTTGTTTTTGTTATTTGATGCTTCACTTTTGATGCTAAAAAAGATGTGAGCTTTGTCTCCACAGCTTTGGACAAACAAATGTGACTGAGGTGTGGTTATTTTCTGTTATTTATAGGAGCCAGTACATTCTGTACACAAACAAATCAGCCTGGATAACATTGTTGTCTTGTCACTCTTGGCTTGAGAAAAAGATGATACAATTTTATAATAAAAACACATCCTTGAAAGTGTACGGTGGATTTTAGTGTCCTTAACTAAAGTTTATGTAATCTTCACTAACAGCAAATCACAGTGGGGGGCAGAAATAATTTGGTTTGACTGAGATTATGAGGGTTTGAAGGAAGTTGGCACATCAGCTGCAGCAAATCTGTCTTCAAATTATCTTGATGAAAGCTAAATCTTGTTTTTGGCTTCTCCTCCAGTCTCTTAACTAATCCTAGAGTTGTTTATCCGACAAAATTGCTGCTCTTCTCCCTCCTCTTTTTAATTACAGAAATCATTATAGACTTTAGTCGAGTCAAAATTATATAATATATGATATCACTTTTGCACCTGCTACAAACACACTTTCCATCTCTAGCTCTGGAACAATCACAAGGCGCATTTTTTTCAAATGCAAAATCTATGCAAATCATCCAACCCCAATGCTGAGAGCAGAATGCAAACTGTCCTCTGCTGGAGAGATGCAGCTCATTCCTCATGACCCAGAAATCATTAGCCTCCGCCTGATGTTCCCTTGCTGTGGCCTGTCCCAATTAATGCCTGTCAAATCTAGATATTCCTTTGAAGTGTACACCTTACAGCGCCTCTTCTCTCCCATGTCCTGTCTCCATCCAGGTGTTTGGAGCTCCACCCTAACAACCTCACAGCCCTCATGGCTCTGGCAGTGAGCCTGACCAACACTGGTATGCGCAACGAGGCCTGTGAGACTCTGCTCCGCTGGCTGCAGCACAGCCCGAAGTACAAGCACCTGCTGAAGTCCAAGACCCACCTGATGGGATCCCCTAACTCCTCACGCAAGGTGTCCACTGCCAACAACGTGGGAAAACACGAAAGGTGGAGTATTTCAAGTGAATAGGTAGAGAGTTTCACAATTCTTTAGACCTGATGAGAACAAAAAATGTAGCATTTAGCTGTAAAATAAATTGTTCTTCCAACACAGAGGACAATAAACTTAACCAAAAAAAAAGAAAAACTGAGGTCCTTCTCAACAAACTTTGCATTTGTCCTTGCTCTTGTTTTCTCTTGCTTCCTCTTTTC